ATCGCATCCAGCGCCTGACGCCGCAAATTTCTGTTTTTCTAATTGGGTGACTTCACCTCGTACAGGTTTGGCCATTTTTGGTACTCCTCCAACAACAGTGTAACTTCTTCCCGATTCCACGACATCATAAACAATAACAATAAACGCTCCTTCGCACGACTCGAACAGGACCACACGCACAAATGTTAAGTGAGGTTATGTTTTTGACGTTGACATTTGATAATGACATGCACGGAAATAACCCTCTGCGCCGATTCTCGCGCATATTCTATAGAACCATGAAAATTTTCACAAGAATTCTTTTACGTGTAATACGACAGCAAACATTTTCGGCATAATTATGACCATTTTAAATAACGTTTGCATGTCAGTTAGATATCTTTGACGGACCATAACGACGTCGCGAATTTCTGCCAATGTGGATACGCCTTAACCGCACATGCTTTTGGCATCTCACTTGGCAAGTAACCGCCGGCGAAAATATACATCGAAAAATAGGAAAACTAAATATACGCTGTTTCGGTCGCCCAAAATCAGTTACGAAATCAGACAGACAACACTAAACGGGTGGGATTATGCTACCTTCGAACGTATCCAAGTCACTTAATCACTTTTTTCTCGACTAGGCTTACGGTTTTTTTCGCGTTAACGCGCTATATATGCGATAATTTTTCGTAACGAAAATAAACGGGCAAATGTTTTGCCAAGGAAAGTCCGCTATACGCAATAGAAGTTACGTAAGCGCGCAATTTGCTTTACAAATCTTATTCACTGTACATTTTTGACTTGGACATGTTGCATTACATTGATTCTATTAGCAACTCTCGCTATTTTCGTTGCTTTTATGCAATTTACTTTTTAGATATAGTCGAAATCACGAAACATGACGATTACGTCATCATTTTAGTCTGTCGTAAAGACAACGACAGCGATTTGTGAATATTTTTAATGAAGTGTCAGATATGTTAGACAGAGACTGTCTAAACAAACTTTTCATGTTGCATGATCGGTCATATTCGGAAGATGAATAGTTAGGTTATGTTAAAGCAGGTTAGGTTGTTTTCGAATAATACTTTGGTCTTTGATGTTCCTGTCTTAAGGTATTCTACTCATATCTGTTTTTTTTTTTCAAAACAAAAACTCCCCACTAAAATTATTATTAAGGGATCACTCAAAACCATGAAATAAAATGTAAATAAACATAATCAGTGAAATAACCTAACTTCGCAAAATCGTAATATAAATTTGTTGTCATTATGTTCCTGACATCGTGATTTTATCATCGACGTACGTCCATTGATTACTTCAGTACAATTTATTTTATGACGTAGGAGTCATCTTTCGTGATTTTGACTATATTATCATGAACGCCTAAAGTTCTTCGACCTGTATAATTTCTCCAGCTGTACGATCAGGATGCATGGATAATTAAAATGGGATGGGTAGTTTTTGCAAAATAAATGAAACGAAGTTTGTGAAGTATTCCTATATAAGACTATTACGCTTTCGAAAAAGATTTTTTTTACTTAGAGATTTCGTTAATGTCAGCTTCGTCGGGAAAAAGAAACGTGAGATTAGTGCCAGGGACGATTTTACAAAACGAGATCCTTGAAAATTCCAGTTGTATGAAAGTTTTTATATAATTTTATTGTCTAAACAAACTTTTCATGTTGCATGATCGGTCATATTTGGAAGATGAATAGTTAGGTTATGTTAAAGCAGGTTAGGTTGTTATCGAATAATACTTTGGTCTTTGATGTTCCTGTCTTAAGGTATTCTACTCATAACTGGTTTTTTTTTCAAAACAAAAACTCCCCACTAAAATTATTATTAAGGTATCACTCAAAACCATGAAATAAAATGTAAATAAAAATAATCAGTGAAATAACCTAACTTCGCAAAATCATAATATAAATTTGTTGTCATTGTTCCTGACATCGTGATTTTATCATCGACGTACGTCCATTGATTACTTCAGTACAATTTATATTATGACGTAATAGTCATCTTTCGTGATTATCATGAACACCTAAGGTTCTTCGACCTGTATAAGTTCTCCAGCTGTACGATCAGGAGGCATGGATAATTAAAATGGGATGGGTAGTTTTTGCAAAATAAATGAAACAAAGTTTGTGAAGTATTCCTATATAAGACTATTACGCTTTCGAAAAAGATTTTTTTTACTCAGAGATTTCGTTAATGTCAGCTTCTTCGGGAAAAAGAAACGTGAGATTAGTGCCAGGGACGATTTTACAAAACGAGACCCTTGAAAATTCCAGTTGTATAAACGTTTTTATATAATTGTAATTTCAAATTATGTGATTATGACTATATGTAAGTTAAGATGCAAGTATGACTTAAGAAGTGCTAGTTTTGTGTGACAAAATATAAAAACTAAGCAATTTTGATAATAGGTCATAAGAGCTCTGTCTCAGTGAATTTGGGCCAATGCCCCAAAACATGATATTTGAGGGCTAATTAGAATTTTATTTCAAATATAATATTTTTGTTTATGGAACGATAACAAAACCTATTTTTATTTAGAAATTGTCTTCTTTGCAAAATGATTTGTGTATAGAAAAATACATCATGGAGTTAACTTCTGTTGAATGGTCTGTTTATTCGCTTCGATAAAATAAAGGTAGGCTTTGGAAAACAAATGATAACATTTTGCCTTGCTAAGAAGCTGATTTTTGACGTTGTCAACTTTCAATGCATTGTTGTTGTTATTAATAATTAAAAACCACTTGTGGTAAAGTTGTTTCTGACAACATTCACTTGCATTTAACACGCCAAAATGCTTCCCAAATCACTGACAGTGTTAATGTCACTAAATTTTACAAAACAACGGCATCTGTGACTCAAAAACCCAGAACTGGAAGTCGCCCGCATTATTCCAATACCAACTTAAGAGCCTTGAAACGGATTATCAAGGAAAATCGGCGTGCTAATTGAAAATATTACAGAATCAGGCAATCACAAAAAAGTTTTCAAGAGCAACTTGTCACAAAAACTGATGAAACTTACAAGGGAGGCTTGAAGCATTTTTTTATCAGTTTTTAATTCAGTATTTCTATGCAAAAGAGAAGCCCTTACTGATAAAGGTTCGGAAGACAAACATACTAGGCCAAAGAACACAAATTGTGGTGTCCAAACCAATGGACCTCCACTATTTGGAGTGATGAAGCCAGATTTGAAGCATGCATTGGTGATAGCAGGAGTCTTGTCATAAGAACTAAAAAATAAGCGTTTCAGAATGCCTTAAAAAAAATTGAGTTTCCGGCTTTTGTTATGATCTGGGGATCCATGTCAGCAAATAGACTGAAAAACTTACACTTTGTGGCAGGTACTATGAATGCTGATAAGTACATGTGCTTCCAAATAACAATCCCCCAAATTGAACAAATGCGTTTAAACAATATTGAATGAACAGTAGCGGACAAGAGCTTGGAAACAAATATTAACATTAACAGATAATATAAATATTAATGTCTATCTTTGACTTCCGTACTAATGCGAGGTTTATCTTATCTTTCTGTCAGAACAGTGCACAGACACTTGGTAGATTTTGGACTTTTTGGTAGGTGTCCAGTGCAAAAGCCTCTCATTTGAAAATAAAAACCGTATTGCTCGCTTGAATTTCCTAAACCTCATCTAACTTGGACAGAACAACAATGGAATACACTTTTATGGAGTGATGTAAGCAAATTTAACTTGTTTGGATCTGACGGTACGGCATAATATGTGAGAAAAAGTATCAGTTGCTAACAGTTAAGCACACACATCATAGTTTAGGGCTGTTTTTCTAGTTCTTGAACAAGTCCAATTGTAAAAATTGTTGGGAAAATGGATCAAAAACTTTACAAAGGTATTCGAGTACACACACATGCTCCCTTTTGCTGAAGAAGAAACCCCATAGAACATCACTAGAAGCATGTTAAAAGACAACTGACAAAAAAAACTTTTATAAATAGGAACGGCTTATTTGATTATGAAAAAATATTTGGTAAAATATCCCAACAGACATCTGTAAAAAAAAATGGTGTCTTCTATGAGCAGCAGATGTCAGGCAGTGTTGAGTGCTAAAGGCTGTGCTACCAAACATTGCTAAAATCTTTTTGTAGAGTATTTGTATTCAATTTTGTAATAAAACATATGTTTCCATACTTTAGTTGTCTCATTTTCGGTCATAAAATTATATGAAGTTATTTTAATGCTAGTCTGTAGTACCACAGCAAACAGAAATTGTATTTGTATCCTCAAGACAGTGAACAAACTATATAAGAAAAAAAAATAGTCAATAATAAATAAAAAATTAGCACACTTTATAAAAATTACTAAGAATGTTTCCAAACTTTAGTCTGCTACTGTATCTTCCAACAAGTTGGTACTGCTTGCCATTCAGCTAAAAAATTAAAGATATTTTGTCTTCGTTTCAATAAAAGTAATATTCAATTCACAAATTAGTTTCATTAATCATATTGATGACGAACAAAATGTATGGTTTCATTGATAGAAATTGTCAATCATTTAATAGTGAAACAGTCTTCAAATGTCTATTTTGTGTGTATGTTCTAAGTTGGAGTATCGTTTAAAAGTCCAGAATCGATACTATCAGCGTCATAAAGAAAAGCTAAATAGTATTTAAAAAGCACATTTATCCAGAACATGGATGACATTGACAGTTTGGAGCTGTCATTCATTTATAAATTGCATATTAAATACAATGTACTGCAGTTTAACCCTACAGAATCATCAAAATTCTATTCGACAGCCGCTAGGACAAACCTAATGTTGAAATCACCATAAGACTCAAAAATAACTGTCAATAGCTTTCTTAAAATGAATGTAAGAGCATAATTAAATTAGACATACCATTAGGGCCATATTTGTCTTGGTATTTCTTGACTTGGTCTATAGAGAGGCCCCTCTCTGGATCAGTTCCAAAGAAACCATGGACCTCCTCCACCGTTTTCATATGAGCATCCTCCATCGTGCTTCTACCTCACTCCCTGTAATGTAAAACACGTTTGCAGTTAGCAAACTGAAAAGTAAAGCTGAAGTATAGCTTCGCGAATGTTTAGCGTTTTGCTTTTGGAACGACCAGAGGCATGAAAACAAGGTTTGATATAAAACATTGCAAATAACCTTTACGTAAACAATCGTAACTTATAGACCTCCAAGAGCATACGGTGGTTGACCTAAGTGGTGAAAAAACGATTTGCTAAATGCTCTGGCAATGTGCACTCACCGTTCACAACAAAAACGTGTACAATTTTCAACACGAATGTTATAACCTAAAAATTATAACGAAAAAGTGCACTGTCACAGAACTTGCGAGTTCGGCTAGTTTAAATTGTATCACTCGATATTCATACTAGTCCACGCATACCCAACACTACATTTTTCGAAAAATACGCGAAATTTTTATAAAATGTTTTTATTCACACTCCGCACACGTCAGTCTTCTAGCCACTCTGCTGTCCCAGGATCGAATCAAATCAACGGTGAGTTGCGAGCGCCACCGTTACCTTTTTCGATCAACTTCATAGGCGAAAATCGACTAAAATTTTTATAAGTTAAACGATTATTGATTTTTTCGAAGTGAGAGTAGGTCAAAATGGTCCAACCTCCGATAAAAAGTAACTGCTAGCCAAACAAATTTTGATTCAAAAGGATTAAATTCTTCCTTTGCGTGTGGTACGCATGTGGCATGTGGACTTAAGCTATTGGTGGAGCGCCGATCATGTGACCCGTCCAGCGCGCAAACTTTAAATAGCGGACGACGGCTGATAATTATTAGAAATAAATCCAGATATTATTTTAGTATGCGTCATTAGTGCAAAGTTGTTTTATTTTAACCACAAGGAATCAGCCCGGTATTGGGACGAATGCCAAGGCGCTAGCTACGGTTTTAGCACAGATATCGTCGTCTTTAAAATTGTTTTGGCAAGACTCGGATTGTGGAGCAAAATGATGAATACTCACGCACTTTTCTCTATCTCATCAGCTTATGTAACACATAATCCAATTTTTATATTGTGTTCCGTCTGCACACGGATGTATTTTTTAACTACCTACCCCATTAAATCACACATATTTATGTATTTTCCGTGGGTATCCAATATTTGTCTGGTGTTGTCGAGAACGCACATATATTTTTCGAATTTTGAGTAATCCAGGAGGGGTACTTTTTCACACTGAACACTGCACTAAAACTTACCGCTAGCACAAAAAAATCGTCCCAGTGATATCTCACACTTGGGTTCTTGTATATACAGTTCGGTTGTGATGAAAAAACTACGCGAAAATGTCTAGGCCCCCATGGACAAGTTGCGATTATTGTCACTGAGCAGTCACTGTTACAAACGGGCGACGGTTTCACGTCGTGAGGCTTTTTATAAGTTCGGTAGCTACCTGTCCGTGGGCAAACTGCCAAACCGGGGACTGTTTAGCTTCCCCTTAAGCCGTTTCATGTTTTCGAAAATAGTTTTACCGCTCAAAAAGCGACATGACTGCAAAATGTCGTCGACCGTGTGCTCTGTGCATGCAATGTTTTTATCCAGTCTTCTGCTATTTCCCTGCAACTGCAGACGAATCGCAGCAAACGCAGTTTTTCCTAAAGGTGCGGAGTGTAATATTTTTAGATCGCGCGTCGGTTACTGAAAAAGTTAACAATTTCTGCAGAGTCTATACATTGAAAAAATCCAACTATGTAAAGTAGGTAACTTCATAAATGACTTTGAAAGCTAAGTGTAATTATCAGAAATTAGCATGCAATTTAAAAAATTGAATTCATGCTTTTATTCCTTAAAACAGGAACGTGTTCAGGAATTGTTAGGTCATTAGGAAGAAATTGATACAAAGGGGATGTAGCTCAGTGGTAGAGCGTTCGCTTTGCATGTGAAAGGCCCCGGGTTCGATCCCCGGCATCTCCAGTCTTTTTTTTTTAATATCTTTCAAGGTTTTACTTACTACGTTGATACTTATTTTACAAAATTAGTACTTTTTACTTCAAATTTATGGTCTAGAAATTCCTGTTGCTCGTATGATCTTGCTTAATTCACGCGTCTCTGACGTCGCCTGGCAGTCAGCTGATTCGCTACATAACCTACCTTTTAAATAAACATGTGTGAGGTAAGGAAGGAAAATTTTGGATATATGTATCCAGAAATTAAAAAGTCGATAGAGAATGCCAAATTTATAGCCGTTGATTTGGAATTCAGTGCATTATATCCAGTAAAAGGTCAAACGCCAAGGTAATATTAGATTTTATTTTATCTTCCTTCAATATAATATAAAATGATTTCAGCTTGTTTGATGAAGCTAGTGAGAGATATATGAAAATTAAAAAAAATCTAGAGCATGTCATACCGGTCCAAGTTGGCTTAACAACGTTCAGTTTCAATGCTGATTCCGGAAGCTATTTAGGGACAGTATACAATTTCTTTATAATACCAGCCTCATTTCCAACTCTGCAGAATGTTTTTTGCTTCCAATCTGGAACACTCGAATTTTTGAGGCTTCACGGGTTTGACTTCAATAAGGTAAGTACTGTATTACTTTCTCAATCAGTTTGACATGATGGAAACATTTACTAAACATATGCAATTAACTCAAATTAGATTTGGTATGATTTTCATTTATTAAAACGATGTCTAAACAAGCTTGCCAAAACTACATCTTGATATCTTATTCCTAACTTAAAATTCAGGCCAAAAAAAATTTTTTTGTACTAATATATCTGGAATTCTTTTTTATTCGTCAGTTTACATTCTCAGTTCGGACCATCAAATCTAGAGTTTGGAACGATGTCAAAAAATGACAGCTGATTATGCATGCAAACAGCAAATTCTTTTTGAGCAATTGTTGTTCTGGTGACCTTGTGTGAATTTGGGAAAATTTATGTCACTCAAGGCCAACCAGAACCACAACGGCTCAAAAGCAATGCAAAACTGTCACTTCTTGACCTCGTAAAAAATACTGTAATTTTAAGGCTGTAGATTTCCAGTTTTTTAAATAATATTCTATAGTTATACGAGGGATGTGTTTTAAGTTTTGCATATGGAAATAAATCAACACGGTAGGTAGTTTTAAATGACTTTATTGTTTTCTCGTTTGCTGGCAGATCCAAAACGGCATTTTTGAATGCGTCAACTGCTTCTTCTGTATGCTTTCTGCTCTTCAGTCAACAGGTGGGGTATCCAACGAGAAACTACTTTTCTTACTCCTAATTCTTCATGTAAATTTTTTTGAATTGAGGTCTTTGAGATCTTCAAGGACGCCTCAATCTCGCGGTATGTCACATGTCTATCTTCAATAATGAGTTTGCGCACAGAATCGACGTTTTCCTGGGTGTATACAGTTTTTTTCAAGCTCATATACAGTTTTTTTTTGTCCGATGGGGTTGGCGATGCTGTTATTATATACGACAAAGACAGAGAGCAAGCTAAGGAATACAACAAAACAAATATCTACAGTATATTCAGATAAGAGATAGACCGGACATAAACAAGACCACGTGATCATCGAACGCTGTAACATTCGACAGGGACGTATTAAGAGTCATGCAGTACATATTTTAGATAGTAGATGCTGCTTTGCGTAACTTTGTAGTAAATTAGCACAATTCGATATGTATACGATTGGTGATGGATATAGGATCATGTGGGGGTGGGGTAAGAAATATATAATGATGTAAATATACATAAGGGTTTCAAAATTTTAGCTTCGATTTCCAGCTTCGGATGCCGCCTGATGTTTGGTGAAATACAGTCGAATATAATCTCAAAATGGCGTTTAAATTAGCCTAAATTAAAAATAATCGTATATCTCTTAAAATTGCTTTTAGAATATTGATTAGTATATTTTTTGATTTCTAGGTAAATATGTAACCAAATTAAAACGTTCAAAACGTAAAAAAATGTGCGTGGTTGAACATTGTCAGAAAGTAGATTCTTGAATAGGTTTTGCCAAAATGGGTTCAAAAATATATAAAGCTACTATATTTTTTAATTAATTATAACTAACCTAATTTTCTTTTATTGGAAAGATGAGCTTGATGAGCTTTCATCATCGCTACTGCCTGAAGCACCAACGTCAATAATGAATGGCTCGACTTGTTCCTCTAAAATATTGTCCAGTTCCCACATTCTCTTTTCAACTTTGTCTTTCACGTGCTTAATACAGTTTTCCCATTTTTGCGCTGTTATTAATTCTAGTGCTTCTTTGAAAAGTCCTTTGAGGTCACAAAATTTAAAAGTTGTATTGTGCTTAGCTGTATAATTTTTAACCTCTGCCCATATGAGCTCAATGGGATTGAGCTCGCAATGGTATGGAGGTAAACGGAGCACAGTTTTATTTTGACTTGCTGCCATTTCGTCAATGGCGTATTTTTGATATTCCGCCTTGTGATCCTTGACAATTCTTAATAATTGTACTTTCAGCATTGCTTCTTCAAAGTTGATATTTTTCGAGCGGAGCCAATTTTGAACATCAACTTTCCTTGAAGCCGTTGTTGGGACCTTCTCCATTCTTCGAGAATGATAAGGCGCATTATCCAACACAATTACTGCGTTTTCCTCTAAGTTCGGTAAAATTTTTGAAAACCACTGTTCAAACGATTCGCCATTCATTTCCTCGTGGTAATCTCCAGTTTTCTTAGACTCAAAGCACCACAGACCATCAACAACAAATCCATCCTCACTGCCAATATGGCAGATAATAAGCCTTTTCCCTTTACCTGGAAATCGAAGTACTAACTGGTGTAGATTTATTTCAATAAGCGAACCTTTTTCAAATGTTTTCATCACATTCAGCGAAAAAACATTGAGACATGAGTATCAGATTGCTATAATTGGGATTATTTAGTCATATTGAAAGAAAGAATATTGAACGTCTTATGATTACTCAGCGCTTCACAATTTAATTTAAAGTTATAAACCTTTAAAAAATGAATGATCAGGAACCTGAAATATGCGCAAATATTAATATTAACAAATTATAACTTTATAAAGCTTAAAGTATGAATTAAAATGATTAGAAATATTAGGAACGGTACACAATATAAAACTTAGTAACTTTTTTTAAGTTTATAATATTCGACATATTTTAAGATTATATTAAAAAATTATTGAAATATCGAAAACACATAAAAACATGGCTTAAAAAAGTTCTAACAAATGAAAATGACAATAAAACATCCACGCATTTTATCGAAAGTTATAAAAGTTTTGTTACTTGTAATATGTTTTATCTGCCCCCTGGAATTAATGTTTAGAACCTTGTTCCCAAGGTTTGAAAAACATCCGATTGTTGTCTATTACTCGTATTTACCTGCTGGATTTTTTAATCCGGTGGACAGTCCATCTAGAAAGGCCCTCCTGGATGAAGTTACAGAATCATCAACCCATACTTTACTTGTAGTGTGTCCTGCGTTTGCCCACGTTTCATCAAGGTAATAAATCTTCCTGTTTTGATTTCTATATTTCCCAATTTTTGTTAAATCCCTCCTCCATAGCACAATTTCTTGTAAGTAGTAAACTATTACGACCCCGTTTTTTCCATTTGAAATTTAAATGCTTCAGTAACGCATGGAAAGTTGATCGTTTGAAATTTGGCAACGTTGTATCTCCATTTACCTCCTGCAGTACTTTATCTATAGTAGGTATTTCATTCCTAAAGAAGAATTCATGCACTTTCCTCCTAATCGCATGCTTATCAGCTTCATCCAATGATTTAACAATACTTTTGCGATGTTTACTGGTCATTGGCTCAGAAAAGGTGTGATTTTTTTTGTATTGTCTTAACACATTAAACACTGATGCGCGACACACCCCAATTTTGTGAGAAACCTTCACAACAATTTCTTTGATGGTTGATGCCTCGTTCTCCTCGCGCTCGATCTTATATATATTCAAAATGACCTCTTTCATTTCTGCACTCAGGTGTCTTTTTTTAGAGCGTTTCCTAGGTGGACTACAGGAGTTTACAACTTCATCGGCAGTATCTGTACTACTGGGCATTTTGCGCAAGCAATTGATAACAATAACAATCAATAACAAGGTATAACAATAACAACGACAAACTCAACAACTTGATAAGATAACAAACGAAAACGTCCAAAGAAATATCAAATTGCAATGATGCACACGACATACGTAACACGTCTGAACCTGAATGTGACTCTGCCTTGATACTACTGCTCTGCCGCTCGGCATAGGCATTTAATTTCTAATTGACCAATGAGGGCTCCTGTTTTACGTCGAGACGGCGGCGTTAGCGTGAAAATCACCCGAACCTTTTGTTTACATCCGGTCTATCTCTTATCTGAATATACTGTAATCAAAACATAAATAATCCTCCAGTTGTCAATAGCTGTCAATAGTTTCGCGTTGCTTTGAGCAATTTTTATGCTTACCAAATGCGTTTTACGAGCTGTTGATATGCTTGCAGTTTATTCTGAATGTCTTCAGAA